CTAGATAGCCTGTAGTTTTACATGTATTTAGATTCTACTGTACATATTTAGGAAAATCTATGCATCTAAAATTAGGCGGCTTAGCCGCAGATAAAAATAAATAAAGTCAGTTTTGGATTTAAATGGACGAGTTAATTAGCCCTGGGTTAAGGTTATAATTACTTTTGGAGTAAGCGGATCGATCCGCTAAACTCGCACTTGTTCTGAGTATAGAACGAAAGGCCAGTGACCTAACTTACGCTTCCTCTAAGCGCGAAGCTACGGCAGCCCCGCTGCATAATGGCTAGTGAAAGCTAAGGTGTGAATGATCACACATTCAGGCCTTTATTGGAATTGTAATCAACAAATTTGTTAATTTTAGTGGCAAATTTTTCTTATGGTCCTCGCAACTATTTTCTTTCCGATTTTGGTACCATAGCATGTTGACTACCAAAGGCCGATACTGAATGACTTGTATTGTTCTTTTACATTAGCGACAGAGCTAAGTCTTTTCGTACTTCTATTTCACAAATGGATAAAATACCTTTGGGATCTCGCGATGCTACAATGCGAGAATTTCATGATCCTAAATAAGCTGTGCCCCCATCCAACATACTTCTGAATTCCATGACATTTCAAATATCATCATGACGACAACTCTTAGTTTTTTAATGCTCATGATGCTCAGGTTTCAACTTGTCACTTCCATCTCGATGGTGCCAGATGACCCTGATTACGGACTCAATGTTATGGAGCTCATCACAAAACGTGGGTATGCTGTTGAAGAGCACAAATTCTCGACTGCTGATAATTACATTCTAACGATGTATCGGTTGCCCAAAACACATAAAGAGACTCAAGAAAATATTCCAGCTGCATCTAAGAAATCGGCTGTCTACTTGGTTCATGGACTACTCGATAGTAGCTTTACGTTTGAATGTAACTTTCGCAACCAGAGTTTGGCATTCATCTTAGCTGATGCTGGCTACGACGTCTGGCTTGACAATAATGGTACAACGTGGTCAAACGAACACACAACTTATGCTATCGATAGTGACGAGTATTGGAATTTCTCTTGGCAAGAGATGGCACTATATGATATGCCTGCAATGATTCAATTCGTGCTTAATACAACGGGTCAATCAACCTTGAGTTACGTCGGACATTCAGAGGGTACAATGCAAGCGTTTGCCGGATTTTCCGTCAACCAAGAACTTGCTCAAAAGGTCTCGTACTTTGGTGCACTCTCCCCTGTTGCATATCTCGGTCACATGACCTCTCCAGTGTTAAAAGTGCTAGCTATGTCCGAAATGGACATGCTCTTTAACGTTTTAGGAGCTCGTCGATTCATGGAGACTAACTTTATTTAGGGGCAATTGGCGAGTTTCGAGTGCACTTTAATTGGTAAAGCTTGTACGTCTTTTATCACTACACTCATGGGACCTTCAGTTAGTTTAAATGCTACACGCTTACCAGTATATATCGGACATACCCCAGCTGGTACTTCAGTGAAAAATATGGCTCACTTTGCCCAAGGCATTCGAGATAATACGTTTCGGTATTACGATTACGGCTGTCAATGTGTTCGAGCATTTGGATTGCAGAATTGTCCGGGATTGTTCTGTAGGAACAAAGAGGTTTATGGTACATTTGATCCACCGACTTTTAATCTTTCTGCGATAAGATATCCACGTATGGGATTCTATGTAGGCACGGACGACTGGATCACAACTGATTCAGATGTGACGCAACTTTACGCAGAGTTAAAAAACGCCGAGATTGTTGCGAATCATAGTGTTCAGTACAGCCATGTCGACTTTACGTGGGGGTATAACGCCAACGAGGTTATCTACCAGAGCTTACTAACTCATATTGCCAAGTACACTGGCGTTGGTTACGATTGAGGGAGTCCACTGGAGGGGAATATGGTGTTGAGAAGTTAGTAGGATTTACAGCTGTGTATTTACCGCTCCCAAATAGACAACGATCATAATTGATGAGCTAAAAGACCAAAAGCTAAAAAGCATCAAAAGTCTATTCAACAAGCTTAAAAAATAGCAAACTAAGAGCCCCCATCAGCGAAAGCGCACTGGTCCGTGGACAATTGCCATCGAGAGATCGCCACCAACAGCTCGCTCCATGGTCGCGGATAGTGCGTCAACTGAAAACTCAGCATCAAGTGGGTGCACACCCACCCGGACTTTGCCTCGTTTGGTTCGAATGACAAGCAAGCCTGGCTGCTCTTGTCTGTGGCTATGACCCACAGCTGTTTCGATCAGTTTTCGCACGGGATGATGCTGCGTCTTCCAGTCCACATATGCAATGTGGAGACTTTTCGAATGTCGAAATTTACTTGCAACATCCTTAACGATCCTAAGCTCCTTCTCCCGCTGCTTTGTGTCACTTGATAGAAAGAACACAGCGCACAAAGACGTCGTTTCCGACGTGGCATGTTGACCAAGATTACACAATTTCGCCTCATTACCTGAGTGCAGCTGTTCGATCTCACCTGACTCACGCATGCGTTTTAGACGTTCGATATGCTTTTCAATCGCAAAATTGTATACTTGGTACTCATCCACTTCGCCATTGTATTTCGTAAGTTGACCTTCCCAAATGTATGCAAACGTCGGATACTTGTGAATGCCATTGGCACGGCACAACTTTGGGTGCTTACTACAATTTACAGCACCAACCTTCACTCTACCATTCAAATCACGAGCAACATTTTCATAATTACCACGAAATTCAGCACTCGGGGCGTCCATTTCGTAAAATTGCACAAGCCATTCATTGCGTGCACTTTTACCCGGAAATTTCTTCTTTGAAAGAGATGTGACAAGCGATTCTGGTCCGTATAACGTTTGTGGTTGTCTTGGCTGTGGACGACTACGACCAGATCGAGCACTTCCGAATCCATCCATGCCATCAAACTGGAATTCATTCGGCATTCCTCCTCCGAAGCCTCCACCAAAGCCTCCTGCACCTCCAGAAAAGTCTCCTGCTCCTCCAAAACCATGACCAAAGATTCCTTCAAACATTTTGGTAAATGACGCTAAATTCTCGTCGGAGGAGCGCCCTTGGTTACTCTGGTGACCAAATCCGCCTGAAAATCCGCCATTTGGACTTCCTCCTCCAGAACGTCGAATGTCATCGTATTCCTTGCGTTTCTCTGGATCAGACAACACTTCATAAGCCTCAAATACTTCAACAAACTTTTCTTTCGCCGCTTCCTTATCTTCAGCGTTCTCTGCCTTGTCAGGGTGGTACTGAAGCGCTAGTTGGCGGTACGCCTTCTTGAGCTCGCGATCGGAAAATTGTTTCTTTACACCCAGTACCTTGTAGTAGTCTTTACTGGGATCTAACGCGTAGATAGATACAATAACTATGGCTAGAAGTAGCGCAAGCAGCCGCAAACGCGCTCGCGGTAACGTAAGAGTCATGAAATCGAGTCAATCAGGTGTCTTATATATGGGAATTAGAATTGTCCTAACATAAGGCGATATTTTGGGTTGCCACGTTGTCTTGTTGCAGAAATTTCGAGAATAACAGTGTTTTTCTCAAGATAAAAGTAATGCTAATCAAATTTTTCTACTATATTCACTGAAGTAACGTTATTCCCTCGCATCGTACACTTCAACGATCTATACAAGTGCATATGTCGCCAGCAGTTTCCTTGCGGTCATATCTTTCTTTGACAAAGGGCAAAATGCGCTGCTAGATTGCATTGTAAAATTCCATCTAGACAACGCTCATGTTCTGCTTGTATCTTATCTCCAATATTTCATTTACAATGTTTCATTTTCACCTCAATAGAATCAGCTAAATTTAAGTTTTGATGCTTTGAGGAGCCACCCACAACGATCCATGCGTCACCTCAATGCTGCAATTAACCAGTCTACATCATCAAAGTCGACGACTTCAAGTTTGTACGCATCGTCAGTATGTTCATCGTCGTTAGTGACCAAGCGAAAAATTGATGAAATCTTTCGACGTATGCAGCCGCATTCGTTGGTACAATCATCAGAAAAGCTGCTAGCAACGCTTAAAATTAGTCTAAAGCTGTTTGTAAATGGAGTTGAGCTGTTGCCTGTTAAGTCTTCTGCCTCTGGAATTGCTCTTGCGGCGTCGATGGCACGGACAGGTACCAAACGTCCGACACCAACCTTAGCGGCTTGGCGCTTCAATCCAGAAGCTGGAAGATTTCACTATGGTTTAAGCTTCCAATACCCAAATTTCGACTCCGAACTGACATTATCGGCTTTAAAAGACGTAAGAGTCTTCCTTCAATCTTCTGTGATGCAAACACCTCGGCAGATTGTAGCTGGTCAAAACTGGACATTAGTAGCAGAGACAGATCGTCGTATTGGATTGGCGCTCTATGAAGTAGCACTTGGCGACTGGGGTGCAAGCACCCTCATTGCTCTGGTATGGACTCAAAGTCGTCAAGTGGCTAAATTTTATATGCAGCTTCACACGATGGAACTATTGTACTCAGGTCCACAACGATACCTTCAAGTTCGGAGGGATGACGACGTGGATCAAAGACACGGCTTGCACGCTTTTACAACAGCGATAAGTTTACGGTCGCTGGATGAACTTTATTGGGAACGTGAGATGTTTCAAGTCGAATTTTCGATGCCAGAAAAGGGTGCTGAGAATGTAAGGGTTGAACTAATGGATAGTGTACATGGGGGTCATTCTGCCGCTCGCGATCGAATGCTTAATTCTGCGACGGAACCAGTACTTAAACTGGACACAGACGCCGTGAAATATGCAATGAGCAATTGCTTGCTGGTAGATTTTACGCTTTGGGACGCTGATTGCAATCCGGTTTGGGGATTTAGTCGTGTCTTAGAGCTTCAGTCAGCGTCATCACAGCAAGACGAAGACGAGATCGATTTGTCGATAAGCTCTCTCGGACAGGCAACACAGCGCAGGCTGATGCATTTTCAAGATACATTTCGAGGCAACGATCTTGTAATTTCGTTGATCAATCGCTCACGATCAACATCATCAAATCACTCATCAAACAAATCAGAAATGTGGGTGAGACAAGTAACTTTGGGGCTAAGTGTCGATTTTATCAATACAACATTCTGCACAAGATACTGACAATAAAAGTTATACAAATCACTATAATACGCTACGTTTCATGCATAATGTGCTACTTCACTTATATGTCGCTGCATCGGACACTGTAGCTCCAGCGCTTGTCGAAATACTAAGATAGCGTCATCATGGTCGCCACGCAAATGCAATAACTTGCCCAAGAGTGACAGAGCCCCAATAGAAGCCGGCTCCAACTCCAAGGCACGTCGCACGGCTTCTTCAGCAGCCTCGCGGTCGTCTCCAGCACCATCTAAAGCTTTTGCCAAATCAAGCCACGCAAGTGAATTTTTCTCGTCCAAATCTACGCTGCGTTGTAATTCCGTTACAGCTCCTGCAAAGTCTCCTTTACTGAGTAAGCTCTCGCCAAGCTCATGATGCGTAGCTGCTAAATCAAATGGTGCTCCAATATCTTCTAAAAGATCCGCAGTGCTACTCAGTCTTCTACCAGCATTCAAGAATGCCATCGTAGCAGCAATTTCTGCCTCCTCGTCTTCATCTTCACATTCCGGTGGACAGGAATACCCGCTATCCCTGTACTTTTGGGCTATAGACTCTAAATTTCGCTCCATTTGAGCAGTCTCCATTCCACAGTCCAACGAATGTAGCATTCCATGTTCCAATGCATCGGTTGATTCCACTTCAGACAGTCGTTGTACGCTTAACGACCGGTCAAGCTCTGAGGATTGTGTTCGAAGTCGCAATCGACTGTCCTTTCTGGTAGGTTCGGAGTCGGATACGACACCATTATTCTCGCGTAATAAACGCTGCCGTTCCAAGACTGTTAGTTGAGCTGGTTCGACTGATAGAAACATTGAGCCCGTCGTGCGTTGCAAAGCTTCAGCAGGTTTTGTTACCACAGCTCTCCAATTATATGGCGCTGAGACTGGGATGAAGCCATGTGCACTGGCCTCGCTATTGTTGTCAGTGTGACATTCCCAATCAAGTGTTTTATATCGTTGCGATGATTCACTACGAAGCGACTTGCTACGTCTTTGAGACTGTGTCAGCACAGTGTTCGTAAAATTACTAGTATTATCAATGTAGGGGTACGCTCCCCCTGTACGGACTACGCGCTCAATCGCCCGACCATTTATCTGTTTTTGCAAATCGTCAAAGCAACGTATACAAACTCGTTGAGGTTGATCTAACCCAAGGTGTTTTAATGAAACACGATGCCTTGAGTGTCGTCCACACACGGACACGCCACAACTTCGACAGTGATGCCTTTGCCTAAAGTACCCAAACTTTGCAGCACAAAGTCGACATCTTGAAGCCAAGGCCCACCTTGGAAGAGGTGGATAAGGCGATATAGTCACAGCGATAGTATCTTCTTGTGTCATCAAGTTAGATGTCCTCCATCTGTCCGACAAAGAACCTTCCGTCTTTTCTCCTTGCTGTCGTTCTAATGTCGTCTCGGTCCACTGTGTTGTCGGTATAATCGTCATAGATGGCACATTGGTCTTCCTCGTATGAGCTTCTAGTGCTTTAAGCATTAAAAGTACAGCACTAGACGCCACCGGTCGTTCTTTGGCCAGCATTAAAGGCGTCTTACCATCAAGAGTACGCACTTTAATCGCCTTGGGATATACATTCAAAAGCGCTTGAATCACTTCCAAAGCGAGTCGATTCTTAATTGCCAAGTGCAGCGGCAATAAACCACCCAAATTACGCGTGGCCGCGGCTTTAACATATGCGCGAGCTAATGTAAGCACAACACGCGGCGGCGCTCTTGGGTCACTGCAGACCCAGTGAAGTGCCGTCATGCCAACGGGGTCCGAAGCTCTGACTAGTCGTGGACGCAGTGCGATAACCACTAAAAGTCGTGAAAAATCTCCATTTTCAGCAAGCTTGACAGCAGTCAAAGGATCTGCCAATTGAGCTTCAGAAAAGTTTGCTCTCTCTACGCGATGATCAGCAGGCACTTGTTGCTGTCGCTGTAGCCGCGTGGGCTTCATTTTTGGAATTTTAAAGGGTGTCTCGAAGTGCGCAAATTTCACAATGCGACATGGCTTCTATATAAAAAATAGCTGACTTTAAATAGACTCTTTGAACTTGCTTATCAAGATCGCTTAGAGGGTGAATCAACTAAGATCTTTTTTTGTATTAGAGCTCGATGCGACCGTTAATATTTGATCGAAAAATTGCGTCTTCTTGATAAGTGGCTCGTTTGACGTTGACCCCCAGCATTTATAGCCATAACATGGGAGACATTGATTAGAGATTATGTCCATCGATGGCCATGAGAAAAGAAAAGGATGTGTTAATTAATAAATTTGAATTCTCACAATTTTCACAATCAATTACAATTAACTCAATAAACGCACGTACGTCCTTAATTTTGCGTATATACAAAGTTAGACCATCATTCTGGTTTCGTACCTAGTACATTACAACCTATGTGTTAGATGTACAATTATTCTATTATCACACTGCACTCTTGTGTAATTTGTGTAAATTAGACGTAAGAGTGATGATGGAGATGACGCGACTCCGAAAGGAGAGGTCCGTGGTAGTTCATTCACATCAAGCAACAAAGAAATGAAAGAGCTGCAACAGGTACTTTGCGTAGAGTATTCCGCGTTCACAAACGCATAGAGACTGGGTTTATCCTTTTCGACCAGAGGCGGAAGTGAAAGCCTCAACCGCAACTAGGTCTCTGCTGTTTCGAGAGTACATAAATTGAGAATTGATTCGATCTGACTGATGATGCCTATGTACGTTTCACTATCTATCGTGATAAACTATCAGTATTGCCTGATGTGAGGTCATCAATTTGGGCGGCCACGGACCTCTTATTGATTGAGCTTCATCGTATATTCAGCTCCACCAAAGTACAGTGTTAAATGCAAAACTGTTCGCCTCTGTACGCACAATGTATTGTGCGTACACAATAGTACAGTCCCTCACAAAAGAGAAGATCAAACTATGGTAAAAGCTTTTTTCTGTCTTTTCAAGACACGGCGCATTAATGACGACTCCACAAGTATTCACTGCGCCTAAAGTCTACTTGAACCAAACTTTATTGCTGTAACATAAACAACAAATTAATTAACCATCAGGAAAGGTGCGCGCACACGACGTGCTAAGAAAATCGGTTAGGATCCCACGGTAATCTCGGATGTAAAAAGTCGTAGTGACTCTTCAGGTTCGGATCATGCACATTCAGAATCGTCTGACAACACAAGGCCTAACCTATACGCGTCATGGAGACTTCTCACTGCCCTCAGCATCCTCGCAGAGTCTCGTACTTCGAATTCTTTTATATCGGCAAAGTGTCGCAATACCCCTCCTTTGGTCTAGTACGTTAGCAGCAAGATGGGCTGAACTTGCTCTACACCCACCAGTGCAAAATTTACGCCGACTTTTGTCCAAATCATTACGCTGCGATTACGTTGACGCGCTGGTGCGGAGCTCCTACACAACTATGCGTATAGGTCTTTCGCCCACACCCAGAGCAGATCCAGTGCGACATTGTCACTCGCAATGCTTTCTCGGCTTGCCGGCCATCACTTCCCAGGAGTATCGGCTGCGCTCAGAGCATCAATTACTGAGAAAATACGTACAAACCATGTGGGATGTACCATGGGTCCAAGAAGGCAGCGAACTTGTAGATCAAGCCCAGTTTGAGCACTGGATGAGAAGCGCATACCGCCTCACCAATCCAAGGGCTTTACAAGACAGCTTCAGCGCAGCAAATATATACCTCGAGCGTCATGTCTTGATTGACATTGCAAAGAACAAGGTACAACGTAGTCGTTTACATAGTAACTTATATTAATTTCCTGTTTTCACAGCCCCACTCGTCACCATTAAGCAGCTGTAACTGCTACGACCAAAGGTCCTTATCACTGAAAGTCCAGTCTACACCCACTCGTGCGAAGCGCGCTGCACCGGGTAACCCTGCCACTTCATCCATGGAATTGAAGACCAAGAAGACGCACTTTACCGCGGTTATACTCCTATTAGCGGTTTTCGGATGAAGCTTGTCGGTGTAATACCTAAACCGCCCACAAATTATCCGACTCAGGGTATCCTTTCCACTTCACCTCGTTACGACGACAGCCTTATTGTACCGCCGGCCAACAAGACAGTCCACGTGAAAGTGAGTTAACCTATCATCGATCAATGCTAGAAGAGATCAACTCTCCCGTGACCGGTTCCCGCGAGCTCTTTCGGTTTTGGCGGCACGTCGACTCTCTTTGAGAGTCGCGACGTTTGTTCACGGGTTAAA